GGCTGTTTCCAAGATTTAGCTATTACAAACTGTGCCGCTATAAACATGGGTGCACATACTTCTGTGTTATATGTTTCTTTTAGTTCTTTTGGAAAGATACCCAGCAGAGGGATGGCTGGGTCAAATGGAACCTCCAGTCCAAGCTCTTTGAGGTATCTCCATATTGATTTCCATAGTGGTTGCACCAGTCTGCACTCCCCAACAATGGATTTGTCTGAGAAATGTCTATTCATTTCGGATGCCCATTTCTGAATTGGGTCTTTATATTTGAGGGGTCTGATTGTTTTGAGTTCTTTATATATTCTAGATAATAGCCCTTTGTCTGAGGAGCAGCTGGTAAAATTTTTTCCCCACACTGTAGGTTGTCTCTTAGCTCTGTTGATGGTTTCTTTTGCAGTGCAGAAGCTTTTTAATAAGATGAGATCCCAGTTGTTGATTCTTTCTGCTAGTTCCTGTGCTACTGAGGATTTGTTCATAAAGTCTTTTCCTAGGCCAATGTCTTCAAGAGTTCTGCCTAACTTATCTTCCAGCAAGTTTACTGTTTCTGTTTAATATTTCGATCTTTAATCCACTTGGATTTTAATTTAGTGCATGGTGAAAGAAAAGGCTAGTTTTAATATAAAGTCTTTTCCTAGGCCAATGTCTTCAAGAGTTCTGCCTAACTTATCTTCCAGCAAGTTTACTGTTTCTGTTTAATATTTCGATCTTTAATCCACTTGGATTTTAATTTAGTGCATGGTGAAAGAAAAGGGTCTAGTTTTAACTATAAAGTGATTTAAATCGCTATAGTTCAGAAATAATTTGCTTTCTTCCAAAACAACAGAATAATAGTTTTTAAGTGGGATTTGATAATTAAAATAGTTATGCTAAAAGCTAAGAAATGGCGAAAGCTGTTTCTATACTTGAAAATCCAGAATGTGGTTAAAATTCAGTGCCATATGTTGGGGCATCGACGTGGAGATACTCAGACTGGCGTGGCTTTTCTAAGGAGCACCTTTCCCTTTCGTTTTCTTCTAGCTGCCTGCGGCGGACTCCTTACCAAGCTGAATGGCACCATAACCACCCCTGGCTGGCCTAAAGAGTACCCTCCTAATAAAAACTGTGTGTGGCAAGTGGTTGCACCAACTCAGTATAGAATTTCCATGAAGTTTGAATTTTTTGAATTGGAAGGCAATGAAGTAAGTGCACAATCGATAGAAAATTTTAAATTGACATTTTGAGAATCTCTGAAGGCAGACAGACAAACGTAAGATAAGGAATGTGTTATAGTTATATGACTATTTTAGTCTTTCTCTGTTCCACCATTAATTTCTGCAACTAATGATTCTCATTATCACTGGATAATATTTTAAACTATTTCTGGGAGATTGAGAATTATCCAGGGCTGGGGATTTGGCTCAGTGGTTCCATTGCCTACCTTGCAAGTGCAAGGGTTCAAGTTCTATCCCTGGAATCAAAAAAAAAAAAAAA